ATTGGCTGCCGAGCCCGGGGCGGAGTGTGGATTGGCTCTGGCGCTTTCCGCTCCCGGGGGTTAGGCGTAGCGGTCCGTGCTGCGGGTTCTTCCTTCCCACGGGAAACGACCCCTGTCCCCGCTCGCCTCAGGGGGACAACGTTCGGTGTCCGGCGTTTAAAGCAGCCCGGAAGGTGGGGGTGCGTGAAATCCTGGCTACCTTCGGCTGTAGGACAGGCTGTCGGGGTGGGGAGGTAATCCGGAGCTGTACGGTTTTGGTGAGGCCCTAGGGAGGGAAGGGAGCCAGCCGCTTGCCTGGGGAAGTGGCTCGCTCTTTAGTGCCTGAAGTGTACTCAGATGAAAGCTGAATAGAAACCAGCTGGAGAGTTGCTACACATTCTCAAGCACTAACTTTTACAGTTGCTTGGCCTGCTTTATAGCTTCTTTTCTACCTTGGAGACCTCCTACATCAGCAGAGTCTCCCATTGCCTGAAGAAGGGTGTTTGTGCCTGAAAACTTGCAAGGAGCTTTTTTTAGTTTAATAAAATGTATTGTGTCCACCCAAAGAACCTTAGGTGTCCTTAGACCAACATGACTCTCCAGCTACATGGGTTGCTAGTTGTAGCCATTTCTATCCTGTGATCATTACTTTGTACCTATGGCTGGTCTACATTCATTGTGCAATTCTAATGGCATAATCTATGTAATGTGTAGCTGGGGCCTAGGATTCGGAGGGATCTGTGCCCTGACTTCAGTTCTCTCTTGAGTCATCACAGCATCCAGGATATGCAATTCCTTGAGTTTATTTGTCCTAACAATGTTTGGGTGAAGTTATTAGAGAAGTTTCACCTGTCTGCCTCACCTTTTGTCTTTCTAATTCTACCTATTTACACTTCACTGATACCCTGCCACACTTTTAGCTTCTTTCATTTCTTGGAGTCTCAGAACAGCAGAGACTCCCCATGCCCAATGAAGGGTGAATGCGCCCGAAAGCTCGCCGAGAACTTTTTTTCCAACTACTCAGTTGGTCTAATAAAAGGTATCGCATCTACCCAAAGAACCTTGCCTGTTATTAGAGAAGCTATTTTTTTTCCCCTTCAGGTTACATCCCTTAACAGTTTTGGGATGTTCCAGGATTATGTAGGAGCTATTCCCCCCTCCCAGTTGCATTATATTTCTTCCCCTTCAGGATTATATAGGAGCTATCTTTTTTTTCTCTTTCAGGTTGCATATCTTAGCGCCCTGCTACATGCTACCTATACACAATTAACTGGTTGATGGCACAATACATTTTAACCAGCCATGTAGGTAAAGAAAGACCAGCTATATGTGCAGAATAATTATCATATAATTACCTGGTTAATCATGCCATAAATTTAGACCAGCCATGCATGCAAAGTAATTTAATATCAGAAAAATGACTATTTAGCTATAAAAAGAGCCAACTGACTATGAAGTTAGTGCTTGGGAAAGTATAGCAACTCTATAGCTGGTTTCTATCCAGCTTTATTGTGGATGTGTAGCAGGGCCCGAAGTTACTGACATGCCTCATGTTCAAAGTGAAGCTTCATAGAAGCCAGCTCTAAAATTGTTCTACATTTTTCAAGTAATAAATTGTCTCGGCCATTTGTAATGCTTGTTGGCTATTTTTGATGTGTGATAGTTGTTTTGCACATGTAGCGTATCTAAATATATTGTGCAACTAATCAGTTAATTTCACAATAGATGTCACATGTGTTAGGGGCCTTAGTCATTTTGGGATGTTCCAGGATTATGTAGGAGCTGATCATTTTCCACTGTGTGTGGTTGATGATGTCACCAAGAAGCTTTGCAGAAAGGTGAACTTTGTACGCCTTTGTGTTGAGGTTGCATCATTGCTGAAATGCAGCTGTGTTTAAGCCATGATTTTTTTTTTTCAACATTATTTAAAGGGCGTGGGCAATTGAGAGTGGAGACCATCAGCTTTCGACAGGGTATTCAGTTCCATGCCAAAGTCAGTGTCAAAACTAAACGGAAATGCGATTGAGCTCTACCTGGAGCTAAGCAACACCTGTGGTGCTGTGTAGAAAGTGATGAGCGGTATTACAGGTCTGAATCTATAGCTAACTAGGGGTGCAAGGTCATCAATAAACAGTATCAGTAGAAAAGCAGATGGCCAGGTAGAAACTGTTTAAGAACCACCTTTTCAATTTCAATCCTGTGGTTGTCATTTGAATTTGAGTGGGGAAACAGGAGGAAATAGCGGTTCACAATGGAAAAAATGGTGCTTTTCACTTCATTTATGCAAATAAAGAGAAGCAAAATGCAGTGACTCAGAAACAGTGCAGTAGTGGCTCCTGACTGCTTCTTACCCTTTCTTAGGAGGTCACAGAATTTAACCAAGGATTCTGTGGGTTCAGAAATGGATGATGAAGCAGTAGGCATAACAGGGGAGCAGACTTTTGTTTTGTGCATGACCCTGTAGCCAGCTGGTGGAATTCTGCTGGGAATGAATAGTGATGTAGAAACTGCAAGTTTTACTTCCACTAGGGAAGTTGCGAGTGGGGGTTTACCAAAGGAAGCACACTTTTTAAGAGCTATAGGCATCACTTGCTACTTAAAGGCACCCATTTCTGAGATGGTATGTGACACCTATTACAAATATCTGCAGTGGTGTATAAAAGTTTAAGACAGAAAATTAAGGCAGCATCATACTCTTGGAATGACAGAGTAAAGTAGTTTGGCAAAATGTTATATCTCAAGGTATTTAAACAGCCTCACCAATGCAAAAGGAAAAAAAAAGATCTATAACAAACCTGCCTGGGCAGCGCCTCAATTTTACAAGTCAGCCGAAAGACTGCAGCAATGCTAGCAGAGTCTCTGGCTTGTCTCTACATTGACTCAGCATCCCCATGTGAATCATCATCATCACTTCTTACACCACCTAGGGTTTGGGGAGGGGGGCGTTATTTTCCCTTCCCATCCCAGTTACAACTGGGCCTGATCTTGATTAGCTAGTGAGATCTGAAGTTCAGCATACACAAAAGCCACCATGCAATTACATGTGCTTACACAATGACTGTGACTATATATGTAAGTATTCATCTGCATGCTAAACTGCAAGCACAAAGCTCAGTATCCTTTTAACATTTTATAATGATGTCATCAGTCTTGGACAAGTGTCTTTATATTTGAAGCGATGAGGTGATGTTCTTGCTGTAATGGTCCAGGGAACATGCAAGAGATAAGAACTCCTGTGGGTGGTATCTTTTCTTGGACCAACTGCATCTTGCATCATTTTATATTAAAAATAATTCTAGCGCATGTCTCCTTGAGAACTTCCTGCATGGTTTGGTCTTTTGAATATTATTGTTTATCTGCTTAAATATCTGCTGTTAATAATAAGGACTGTGTTGGGTCAGAGCTTTCAAACATTCAGTAACATAGTCTTTATTTATGCATTGATTTCAGTGGGACTACTTGTGTGAATAAAGATTGCAGATATGAGTAAGGATTTCAGAATCAGGCCCCAAATGTATGAAAAATAAAGAGGGAAGTGCACATTTCAGAAGACTGGGTTACAGACAAAATTCAAACACTGGACCCCTCGTTAGTTACATTAGTACTAGTTGTTTAATTGATGTAACTGTGACAATACATGTTGATAGTGGAAGATTCCTTATGAATTAAAAGTTAGATGTTTGTGTGTTGCACTTGATTTTTTGGGAAGAGAGGTTAAAAGGAAATCTGTCAATATAAATGCTAGATAATGATATCTGTTATAGGGCTCTATACTGCTCCCCATCACTGTGGTATCTGAACACCTTGTACACAAAATTTATATTTAATAGCAAAGTCTCTGTGGACTTAATAAAAATCTGTTCTTTGGGTGAAGATTTTTATTTTACATTATTAGCCTACCTTTTTAGGTTGAAGTTTCAGAATTTGGGGAAGGGGATCTGTAGATGTTGTTTATTTAATACAAATAATGATAATTAGGAAAGTTATTTTACATTGTTCATTTGCAGCAGTGTGTCTTTTTTTTCCTCCAAAAAGTTTTCAGCACCTGTTGCGGGTAAAA